GGTCGTGGAGACCATGTGCACCATCGGCTATACATGTGAGGAGATTGTTTCATCCCTAACTCACAGGCAAGAAGATAATCATGTAACAGCTACTTGCAACATTCTCAAATATCAGCTGAGTGGTGGGGACAGCCATCAGCAAGAGCAGATGCCCTGGTTAACCATTAGCCCTGCAGTTCCTGTTCGCCTCCCTCTCCCCTTGAAGAGAGCCAGTGAACCAGCATTTACAACCAGTACACATGCTGGGAAGGGTCACTTTAAGGAGGAGGGTGTGGAGGAAAGAGGCAAAAGATGTAGAAGCTACACCATGCCTCACAGATCCTCCTTCCTGGAGGTGCTGTCCTCTTCAGACAACACAGTCCCAGAAAGAGAAGCTCTTATGGCTGACGTCATCAACACTGCTACAGAGGACATTGCAGTCAACAGGAATTCTGTTGACCCCCTGCCTGGCAATCTCTCCTCCCCTGAGTCAGTCTTGGATGAAACACCCACAGGATTTCTGAACCTGGGCTTCTGTGAAGAAGATTCATCCCAGGGGTCAGACATTCCCAGTGACCAGCACCAGGTGGCACCCACAACATCTGGCTCCAGGCCATTCAGGGTCTTGAAGCTGGTGAGGAAGCAAATTTCCCATGCACTGAGAGCACTGTGCAGCTGCTGCTGCTGCTGCCTGCCCACCCCAAGGTGAGCCCTGAACCCTTGCATCAGGGGCCACAAGGAAAGAGAGGAGAGTGGAGACCTATATGGATAACAGTTGGTTGGGCCACACAGATGAATTCCTATGTTGTCTTTTCAATATGCCATTTTAATATCCTTATACCCACTCAGAAGGCCCAGAATTTGATATGTAGTACATTAGATGGCAAATTCACAGCTTCCTGTTCATGTAAAGTCCTGGAAGGTTGAGGCAAAAGCAGATAGCCTAAAATGGGGACAACAGGGTGGGAAGGAAGGGTGGAGAGTTTTCTAACGGGGTTAAAGGTTCAGAATGGAGGAATCAGGAAGGGAAATATAGCACAGAAATTTATCTGTCAAAGTCACTAATAGAGGTGCTTTCATGTTTCTTTCTCCTTTGAAGTGTGGAAACTGAAATGGCCCAATAGAATTCCAGACCTGGTGAGGAGTGACTGCCACAGAAGTGAGCCAGAACTCATCTCCAGAGTGCCAGCTCCCTCCAACCCAGGGCAACAGGCTCCTGCCTGCATTCATCCTCCAGCTATTGGGTCTGAGCTGCCAGTTTGCATCTCTTTCAGCTTAATCCAGCTTCAGAACAGTTGTGGGACAATTGGGGTTCATAAAGCATATGTACCCCATGACCCTCTACCTTCCTAGCTTTGGTTGTGCTTGTAGGACCACTCACACTGCATGGAAAACAGCAGCGTCTACAACCAGGAAGGACTTCATACCAATCTCGGCTGCTCATCATCTTGGTCACTTTAACCCTCCAACTTACTCTGTGACTGCCTTTTGGACAAAACAGCAAGACCTGTGTAAATCCTCTGGAAAATGGAGGTGGGTGAAAGGAGATAAAGAGGACTAATTGGGGAACAATTTTGAGACAGGAATAGAGGACATGAGAGGTGGTGTAGAATACGGAGTAGCGTCTGTCCTGAGGAACTTCCTGTCAACAAAGTAACATGAAAGAGATGTGTGTGCTGACCTGTGACAGGGGCCGTGCGCAGTATAGAGGAGGAACAAACCTCCCCTTAAGTCCAGAGTGGGAGGGAGGTAGAAACAGCCAGCAATGAGGAGGAGAGGGCCTGCTCTGATGGTTCCTAGCATGTGTCAATGCACACAAGTAGGATGCTGTCTTGGAAATAACATCCTGTTCTTTCCTACAGAGCTGGGGTATAGCAGGAGAAAAGTGCAGCACTATTGGTCAGTGGAATCCAATCCTCCTCAGCGCTGAGTAAGTCCTGTCCATTAAAGTCTCACTAAAAGAGGCACTTTCTTTATTCTTTTGGGTTTTATTTGGGGAAAGTGAATTGAATTAGAGTCTTGGTGTGGTTTAGTGCAACAGGAAGGATCCAGGCTGGAAATCTGTGTACTGTGTGATGATATGTTAGGCTACAGATTCCAGTATCCATCCTCCAGGTTAGGGCCTCAGCTGCCATCTTCCCCATCCTTCACCGCACTGCTGCCCCTGCACTATTGATGAACATCCCTGAGAGTCACATGTAGCATCGACCCAATGAATGTCTACATCTGTCCTGGTTCCTGTGGGACCAGGGTTCCATGGCATGAAAAAGGGCTGCCTGTGTCAACAGGATAGACTGGCACACATGTCTCAGGCTTCCCTCATCTTTGATTCATTCATTAACTCCAAACTGCTTTCTGACTGTCTTTCAGAAGAACTGCAGTAACTGTAAATCCAGTGGGAGATGGGAGAATGGAGATAAGGGGGAGGAAGAGGGGGAAGGAAGTGGAGAGGATGGAGAGGAAATGAGAGGACCTGTAGAGAGAGGGTAGAGTCTGTCCAGAGGAGCTTACCTAAAATGAGTCAGGAGAAAAGGAGATTTTCATGGGACAGGGATCTTGAAAAGTGAGACCAGGAACAAATGTCTCAAACAGAGCAGAGTGTGACCGTGGGTT